AGAGTGCCGTTTTTTTTTCTCCAAAAGGATTACAAATTACAAATGTGATATTGATTTTATACAACAGTTCAATACACAAGACGTTAATATTAAGAGTTTTAGACGCCAGACGCCATATTTCCTGTTTTTGCTCTATTTCTCCAACAAAATTAATTTCAAAAACAGCCACAGCGCTGTTTTGCATCACTGAGCAACATGACGGTGTTTTCGTTCCTGAATGAATCAATTGGATTCGGTTCAATCGCAATGACTCAGTTTAACAGTGACTTGCTGCCACCTACTGGCGGTTTTAATTTCACATTTAAGGTACCTTTTCATTTTAAAAATAATTTCAAACATTAGTTTTAAATGTTTTTTGTTTAAAATATCAAAACATTATTTATGCATTTGTAACTGCAGGCTGAAGTATTCCATGTCCCTTAGAGCTGCATTAAACAGTAATAAACATCTAAATGCCACTTCTAATGCAGCTTCTGTGTTTCCTCTGCATTGCAAAGATCAATTTTGTTGATACTGATTTAATTTGCTTAGTAACAACCCAAATGCAAGAATTTGACTCAAAAGATGGTGCACACTTTTAGAAAAAATGGCTTAAAGATAAAAATGCCCATGAAACTTGTTGGAAATAATTAATTTCTATCACTGCTGTGAACTGACCACACAGAATATGAAGAATATCAAAAAATTCAGGAGTCAGCACAATTAGAGATAAGATATCAGCACAATCACTCAGCAAAATATTGTCTAATTATCATTATCGATAAAATCCCAGAAAATTATCGAGATATCATTTTTGTCAATATCGCAAACCCTTAATTTATGTTATTTAATTGATATAATAATTTATTCATAATAATTGTTTAAATTAATATAATAATTAATACTTTTGACTCGTCTGTTTCCTTAAAAATTGTTTAAAGGCTGAAATGTAAAGTTTATAATTTTATGAACCTTTTTGTTTTTGTGAAAACTTGTATCTGAACTGTAAGTTATGCTTTTTACAGTAATTTTACTGTTTAATATGGTACTATAGACATTGCCCTACCCCGCTCATATGGTATTAATTTTATTTATGCAGGTCTTAAAAAGGTCTTAAATTTGAGCTTAAAAATCCTGCATAAACCCTGCTTAAATCAAGCAGCTTTACAGTATTAAACATGAAAAACCAGAATCAGTGTCACTTTCAGTTAGAATTACAACTTGATTTTCTGTTACAAAACGGCTCTCCAGTGTGTAGCTAGCTTATGATAAAATCGTTTTATTAGTGGGGAAAAATATATTATTTCATAAAAGTGATAGTTTGGTTTGTAGAGATCAAAGCTTGATCTACCTTAGGACTGTTGTGATTACCATAACCCTATAAGGTATTTTAAGAGAGATTATGTTGTGAATAAAATAGTTTATCCAAAAATAAAACGTCCTATCACTTACCTTTATTTTGTTTCATATTCATGTGACTTAAAAGGAGATATTAGGCAGAATGATGTCATTCAATTACTTTTTTCATATAGCTAAATAAATGGTGAATGAGAGTTTCTCCGTCTGTCATCTCATTTTGTGTGCCAAATATATGTATTTGTATAAATTAATTGTATAATAGTTGGAATTATATAATATGATTTTCAAAAGCTGAAATGATTTACCATTATTTGTTAGAATATGTATAACTCAGTATTTTAACTAATTGCAGAAGCTTTATAATCAAAGTCTACTGATTAATCAGTGAAATAATCGATGATTAGTCGATCGATCGTTCCAATATTCGTTAGATTAATCAATTATCAAAATAATCGTTTGTTGCAGCCCTATAATGTCATTTGAATCACCATTACTTCAAATGAATTATATTTGAAACCAGAGCTCTGAGAAATACTGAAAATATTACTATAAATTGTAGCAACACCTCCCGCTTTACCTTTTGGATGCGGCTCATGTCTATAACCGTAATCTTGGGGGGTAGACTCATTTAAAATAATGTAATCATCTGGTTTTAGCCAGGTTTCTGTCAAACAGAGCA